ATAAATTTTTAATTTTATATGTAACAAATGAGTTAAACAATTTGAATAAATAATTTTAAATTTTTATATTTATTAATCAATTTTATACTTATAAATATATTATTTTTATTCTTATTATTTATTTAATTTTTTAATCATTTAAATATAATATTTACTTAAATAAATAAAATATTTATAAATAATTGATGGATAACTCACCGTTATTTCCGAGTGTGGTTAAAGTTCTGTTTCCTCCTTCCCGTTCAGCCCAATTTCTTCAAAAAGATAAATATGATAAGCCTTCACAATTCTCGAGAAAAACGAGGAATGAGTCTGGACCGACTATTATAAGTTTGGAAAGAATTCTAGTCTTCAAATTTGTATTTTTTTTCAATTTGGTCTCTAAAGATGATATAATTTAAATGATATAAATTATAACTATCTTCACCTGACAAAGAGGCATAAATTACTATACATTTATTTATTTGATGTCATAAAATAACTGTGGTAAAAGACCTAAATGAAAAAAAATTAAGAACTAAAATTCTTTCCAAAATAACATTTTTCTGTTAATTCACTAATTTTTCCATTACTCTTTTATTATTTGTATTAATTTACAATAAATACACTTTTACTTTAATGAGAGTTTTTTATTTAATAAGTAAGCTATCAACCATTAATACCCTTGATTTAGACAACAAACTTTTAAATTTTTTTTTAACATATTTACAACGACAGATTGAACCCAAGTTCAAGGAGTTCAAAAGGAAAGAGGAGAAATACACATTTTTTCAATATAACTAATGTTACTAGACTTAAAGGATCAGGTGCACAGACTTCTGAATTTTTAAATTTACATAGATTAATAGTATTTTTTTTTTCTTTACTAGTAATAATCCTCTCTTTTATTAGCATACTTTTTTTCCCACATCATATAAGTTGAATCTCTTATTTTTTATAATAATATAAAATATTTTAAAGCTATTAGATCATTGATTCAAATGTCAACATCATAGCCTAACAACTAAACTGATATGGTGATAAATCCTCCCTAGTCTTTAGTAAAAGGATAAAAATGCCAAGTTGGAGTGACACGACACAAGAATATAATAATAAGCATAAATGAAACCAACATAAATGTCCATGAAAATCACACTCCTGAAAGTGCATGCAAGCCTTCAATGCTTTCAGTTTCAGGCAATTGTAGTAAGCCAAATAATTAAACAAGTTTTGCAAATAAGATTAGTACTAGCAACTCCCACATGATTCAAGCAAGACGCAGCAGATCTTCAAAGCTTCCTCCATGGTGATGGTGCAGACGGAGCGATGGGTAGAGGTTGTTGGCTTCGTTTGCGAGTGCAATTTCATAATCCCCTTCGTTATCAACAAGTCCAAATAGGGGATCCTCAATCTTTGCTTTCTTAAATTTCAATAAGATAATAAAAAATTTTCAAATATTAGAATTTATATATGCAGTGCTATTAATTTTAAGGGAAAATTAGATTTTAACTACTTATTATTTATATAAACTGCTGATTTCAAATATTTATGTACAAATTTTATTATTTTAGATCTTTATTTACTCATATTCAAAACTACTAGTATTTTATATGCACTTAATTTAAATTACTCATGACTAATTAAATTGCAACTTTTTTTAATTTTAATTAGGAAACGAAATCATATACATTATCAATTTCAATTCTTACCAAGTGTAGCAGGAGGTTTTCATGTTGTTGCTCCAGACTCCTCACCTTCAACCATAGAAAAAAGATTAGCACTATTAAGGAAAAAAAAAAGATGAAAGTTAAAAAAAATTAGTAAATCAACTAATGTCGATCGGTTTTATTTTTTTAAAATGATGAAGAAAATTACTTTAAAATTACGTCGTTTCAATAAATTTTTATTAAAAAAATTTAAAATACTTTATTTTTAAAATATAAATTAAACTATTTAATTTTAATATTTTCTTATAATATTTTATTAAAACGATATAATTTTAAAATAATTTTTCTTTTAATTTTTAAAAATTAAGCCAAATAAACACTAATTCAATAAATAATTAAAATAATTATATTTACATAAAAATGCTACTTTGAGTGCTTTTAATTTTAAAAATGTCAATTCAAACTGAAAATAAATTTATTAGTAACATGTTTTTTTATTTATTTATCTGAATTGAGTTTTTTTAAGCCATTCTAGACTAAAAAACTGCAATATCATGTTTTTATATATGTTATCTTGGAGAAAAAATAATCATGCAATGTGTACTCTACTAATTGATCACGGCACTAACCTTTTTTCTGTATGTCTCGCTCTGCGTCTTAATCACACGACACTGCAAACAATTTATAAATTTGAGATTGTTAGTTTTTGTCTACATGGAGGGGAGGTGAAGGCAAGCGGACTCGGTATGTGAGCTTTCTAAATTCAAGCTATATTTGAGATTTTTTTAACGTACTATAATTTAAGGTTGGGATTCAAAACCTAACTATCCGATTAGAAGTGCACTTTCAACGTGAATTTATAGTTATTGGATCGAGAGCATTAAGTAAAATCTATATTTGAGATTAAGGATATCTAAGATTGCCAAAATGATGAAAGCTATAATATGTAATAAAAAAAAAGTGAAAGTAGAAGGCAAAAACATCAAAACCTCAAGATCTGCATTATTAGAATCCAAATAAAAACCAAACCTTTCTCTCTCGGATGAGGTCCAAGGAAGAAGTCATCTTTTCTTCAAGAGCTTGCAGTTCCTTAATCTTCATACCATTTAAATCCTCCCCCATCCTCTGTCTATTACACCAAAAAATAAAAAAATAAAAAAAATAACTGTAAAACCCAGAAATACCCAAAAGAAAATTTCTGTATATATATATATATATATAAAACCTGGTCCGATCTTTACCTGATCTCTCTCCTCAGCTTGTTGTTAATCTCCTTCAGCCTTCTATAATTTTCTTGCATTTTCTGATTTTTTTTAATTAAAAAGCATAACTAAATCAGCAACATAATTAAGATCTCAAAGATCAAACAAGCTATGGCAGGGTCTACCTCATAGTGGGAGCCCCAGAGGTCAACACAAGCAGTCTTCTGGTATTCATCAAAGAAACTTTTTGTCCTAATAAAGACACAAACATACAAATTTAGTAATCATATTAAGACATAAACATGTAGACAAAGAAGATGATGTAACATATGGAGAGATCTGTGTGAGGTGCGCAGCGTACGTGATGGTAGGACTTATGAATTCATGTAATTTGCCAGTGCTGGAGAACATGATGAGGGAAACCTTGGCGTCACAGAGCACAGTGAGCTCTTGTGCTTTCTTGAAAATACCATTTCTTCTCTTGGAGTATGTCACCTGCCTGTTTGTGGTGTTCTCGATCTTCTTGATCTCGATCTTTCCACGACCCATTTTTTCCAATTTCTTCTGCTCAAGTACTAATCCCTACTGCTTAATTAGATGGAGCGTTTGTGGGTACAAATGGGGCTGAAGGGGAAAGGGAGGAGGAAGATAAAAGAAGGGCAGGGAAGGGTTCTTCTATATCGGGAAAGGGATGAAAAAGTGAATGTAATGTAACCAAGAATGCTTGCTAAATTAGTGACGGGCATCGTCTTGAGATGTTGAGATCTGATATAACTTGTGATGTTGGGAGTTCGGATTTTTTTGACCATGACAGGACATAAACCTTAACCTCCTAATCGGGTGAGTTAAGCAAGCTGGTGACCTCGTATTCGGTAGACGCTTCCATATTGAGAATTAAAGTTGCATAAATCAATGAAGTTTATTTATTTTGGCCGGAAGTATAAAAAGAGTTTTGAAAAGGCAATTAATTGATGCTTCACCATTAGAACCACGTGCAATTAAGCATCATTTAAACCTAAGTAATTGGGCGATCTATTCTTTGGAGTCATCGAATTAAATCAATCATTCTTAGAGCATGTACAACGTATTAAATCAATCATCTTTAATTTAGAGCATGTACAATGCATATTCTGTTTAATATATATTTTTTCCAACATAAGAGAATTTTGAAAACTAAGGGATTTTTTTCTAAGTCATTAATAAAAATTGAACTCTCGATTAATTAAAATCATTCTTGATTAATTAAAATCAAATACTAAGACTTTGAGATAAATTATTGAATTCAAAGATCTAATTCGTTTAATATTCATTTTTTAAAATAAAATAAAGATAGAATTTTTATTTATTAAAATTATGTTATTAAAAGAATTTCTTTTTTGTACAGAATATTTTTTATTTTATTTTTTTAACATTAAAAGTTGCCTTGAAACAAAAAAGAAAAGGCTACAATGCCGCACTTGGACCTCACGACCTAACGGTCATAAGTCGGTTTGTAAGATACATCTTCCAACCCGAAGGCTAAGGTTCGATTCCCCTCTCCTCCATAATTGTAATCTTGTTCAAAAAAAAAAAAAAAAAGCTACAACGCCTAACACAAAGTTAGGCATTCCGACCAAAGTTTCCATCCAACATTTTTGTTTTTCATTTTTTTTCTTCAAAATTTTAATTCAAAATTGTTTTATTTAAATATAAAAAATGCTTGGTGAATAAAAATAATGTCGTATGAATTTTAAGAAAGCTCTAGGCTTCGAGGATTAAATATATAAAAATGTGAATTTATATAAAATAATATAAATTGTGATGATGTGACACCAAACTAATTTTTTTTATTATTCCCATTATGTATGCTCTTAGTCTACCTTCTATTCTAAAAGTAGCAAAAGTAGCAATATGTGAGATTTGTGTTGAAAAGATACGTTAAGAGAAAAAAACAACTATATATACAGAGATTTATGAACCTAATATATATTAGTCTTAGAATTAATATGGTTAATTATTAGTAGGTTCATTCTAACAAATTAGTGCTTTAATAATATGCTTGGTTTGAAGGGAATAAAATGGAGGAAAGAGGAAAAAAAAAATCTTTATTTAGTTACTAAAAAAATTGAAAGGGAGGAGAGAGAGAATATTTACTTTCTTTTATTTTTTTTTTAATTTAATTATTTGTCTAAATGAGAGAAAGGGAAAAGAGAAGAATGGAATGAAAAGAAATAATTTCTCCCCTATCCTCCCTTTCTCTTTTTTCTATTTTTTTTAATCCTAACATAAAATAATAGAATTCAAATTTAGGTTAAGTATTGTGTGAACGTGTGGGTACTCTTATTGATAGCTTCACACATCGATGGGTTTTCCCATCTCACAATTGAATGGGCCAAACCGTTGACTTCACATGTGATGAGGATAAGACAATTACAATTGAGAAAATTATTTTAGAGGCTGATGCAATTTATCTAATAAAATTATTTAAATATTTTTAATTTTATTTTTATATTATTTTTTATAGACATTTAAATAATTAGTTTACAATTTATAAACATATATTGATCATTCCATTTAAACTTTAGAGTCTTGGTCTCTTTAACACAATATCATTGATAATTCATCTATGATAAATTATTGAATCTTGGTAACATGTTATCCTTTGAAAAATTCAGTCATGTGAATTGCTCTCTAATTTGATGAACATGTGTTGTATAATTATTTTACAATAAGTTCTTAATTATTTTCAATTTCAAAAGCTAAAGACCTAATGTTTGCGAGAGCAGGAGGACTACATTGCAATTTCAGTGAAACTACAAGAGGTCATTGTGTATATATTCCAATTTAGTTTAGGCCAAGCCTTATTTATACCATACACATTATTTTTTCATATTTAACATTTTTTTATAATTTTTACTATTAGTCAATTAGTCAACCCCCTTTATAATTTGAAACATGTAAAAAATTTACCAACGATCTGTTGGACCGAGTGAAAGGAGCTCGGTTCCCTTTAAATAAGGTGTAAAAAATTTTAAATTATTAATAAAATTAATGTACAAATAGAAAATTTAATTGTTAATTTTTAAAATTTTTAAAAATTTTAAATTATAAAATATATTAACTAAACATAAAAAAT